TGCATCAGTGCCGGACACTCTGCAAGCACATCGTATGCAGTTTCTCTCTCTTCTCTACAGTGTCTGCAGTCTGAGTTGGATTAGATTTCTGACTTCGATAGATGATTATTCAATTTGCAGTGACCGGTCAATAATTCCGCAATAATTGTTAGGTTATTTTTTGATTGTGCTATGCAATCTTTGAAGCGTTTTAGGTTGTAATTCCCTAAAAGCATTTTAGATTGTGATATTCTTGATAACCTTTCCCAAAAGTTTTCTCTTTCTTTTTTCTCTGCGCCGTTCATAAGAATGGATAGAATTCCTTTCTATCCATGTTTAAACCACAGAATCTTTCTGGGTCTATCTTCTTGCAAGTTTGTCTGCCCTTTCATTGCCTTCGATACCAGCATCATATTAATAAAGTAATTAAAAAAATTTTTTAAATAATAATATTTGTAAATATCTTTGAATGATATTCAGATATATCACGTGGATTTTAATTTTAATCTAATTTTAATTATTGTTAATACAAATTTATATATAATAGTTGTAATAGTTGTGTTCATGTATATAATAATCGTCATCAGAGTTTTTAGTTACATTCTGATATATGTCGTAATTTACAAACTTAAGCTAATATTAATTATTATTTATATATAGTAATTATATTAAAAAGATTATAATATATATTTTAATTAGTTGAATTTTTGGCTGGCCATACAGCTGTTTCGAGTATTACCAAATACCCATCATCAGTGCTTTTAGAATTATTTCTTATATTTAAGTATTAGTAAATAATTTTTTGAGACTGCAAGTAAAATAGTCATTACCGTCATAACGATTTTAAAATCAAATATGAGTACTAATATTATTTTAAAAATTAGTTAATTCGTTTCTAAAAAAATACTGTATTTTTATCCATAAACCCATAAATATAGCATTTTATTAAAATATTATTCATTTTCAGGCAATGGCAACAAAACGAAAAATCTGGAGCACACCGAATAAAGACGATGCAGTACTATGGTTATGGGCAGCACATAATGAAGTGAATAATCGTCTCGCTGGTGATTCTACAGAAGATCCACTATTTCCAAAAATACAATTTCCTAGTCAATCAAGCTGCAGTGGTTGTTATAAACAGCCGATCTCTCCTGCTACAATGGAAACGAATTGGGACAAAAACGCAGTTTTGAGTTTTCTTAAAAATATTCACAATCCAGAATACATCAGTCGTTATGGTGTAGAACACGAGGAATTACTTCAACCGACTATAGAAAAACTAAGACAAAAGCGTATGATTGGCAATGTATTTTCCGATATGGACATGCGAATGGGTATGCTGCTCTATGTGTTCTGTATTGGTATGATGGTGATAGCATTTAAATTGTTCGCATTCAAAGGATACAGAAAGAAGCCATATGGACACGATTTATTAGGAAAAGTTTAACAAGTATAACTTTATTGTAATAAATTATTAAATGATATGTGCAACAAGGTTTTTGGATGAAAAAGACAAGAGCAAAGAATTTGCTCCAAATTAATTAATAATTAATTCCATATCTAATAATTGTAACTATTCCATTTCAAATAATTGTAATTATTCCAATTGTAATAATTGTACAGAGATTATATGACGTCTAGAGATTTTTTAATGTTCTTTAGTGAATTTTATAAATATTTTAAGTGTGTTGAATGTAAAAATTTTGTATGCTTTTATTCCAGTTAATATTTTATACTCAAACTATATCCAAATAATTTTTTTAAAAAATTATTTTAATTAAATATATTGTATAAATAAACTTCTTTTAATTAATGTAGTTTAACTACTTTGTATAATTGTGCAGTTTTTTATGTATAGGAATCGAGTCGAGTAATTATAAGAAGTTCTATTTACATGTTCAGTTGAAGCGTTGACATCTTAGATATTCAGTATAATTGCTCGTATATTTATTTTTAACGAGCAATTATGGATAGTTTATTTTCAAACAAAACACATTTTTTAAATGTTAATAAACTGACACCTTTCCTATTGTTGAAATAGTAAATTTTATTTAATAATAAAATACATTGTAAATAGTTGTTATCATTCTTTTTATTTAAGAATTGTCATAAAAAATTTAATGACTATTTAAAAGCTATTGAATATTAAATAAAAAACAAATTATCTTCATGTTATAATATATAAAACAAAAGAAAAATATATTTAAGATTACAATGCAAGATTACAATGCATGGAAGTAAAAAATAAATATTATTTTGTTCCGCCCCGCAGCCAGAATTATCTACTTCATAATTATAGAAGTAATCTCCTAGATATGCAAACACTTTAAAGATTCAAGGGTTTTTGGGTAAAAATTTAAAAAAGTAGACCGGCTGATAAGTTGATTTTTAAAAAAAGTTGCTTCTTTTGCTTTTATATTTGCTTACATGTAGCCTTATTTCGAAAGTGGTTCAACCCCTTAAGCTCACCAACTTTAGCTACGTGCTTAAGTTTGTTAAATAGAAATATATAAGCCCTAGTAAATTTAGTCGATTTTTATTACTTTTCACATGAAATTTTCTATCAATAGAACTATTTAACCTTTGGTTTGTTTATATTGATGATCACATATTTTGTTATCATAGTTTTGTTTAGGAGATAACAATTTGTATACAAATTATCAGTGAAATCAAACTTCTCTCAGGTAAAATAGACATATATGCAATAGTAGTGAATGTTTACAACTTGTTAACACGTATGAGCACTTAACTTAAGCATCTACGGAAGTATTACAGAAGCTGTTGACAGCGTTGAACCCTTTTGAGGAAGTTATCTTATGAGAGCAGAATATGTAATTATATCGTTAAAGAAAATGATATGAACAAGCTTAATGCATTACTATTTTTTCTATATTAAATCATAACTCATCTATGCTTTACAATAACTTTTAACACGAACTACTGGTCTTAAAAAAATAATTATTAACAAACTAATATATAATCTGTCAAAATCAATGAAAAAAAATTGCCAATTGAATTATTTATGTTTCATTTCAAAATCAAGTTATCAGAAAAACATCCAATGCTTTTCATTTAACCACAATTTGATGCAATTGGAATATTTTATTTTATAATTCTTATTAGGTTTATTTAAATATATCGATAAAAAGGTTACTCGCATTTCAAGCGAATAACGTACAGTTTAATATAAAAATAACAAATATTTATATTCTAATGCAGCAATGTAAAAGATGTCAGGAATAGATTAAAGCAAATCTCAGGGAATTATAAATATTGAATTATTGGTACAATTTATTGTAAAACATTTTCTTGACCTTTTGACGTCATCATAAACATTAAAATTTATAATTGTAGTCTCTTGACCACTGTTCATTAAATAATAAATAAAAACAATTAGTTTTAATAAAATTAAATTTAACCGGTATAAAACTTAGTATATTATTTTATAAGTAAAATTATAAAAGTATTTAGAACAAAATATTCGCTATCGAAGAGTAAATGTGCCCAGATGCAATAACTGGAAAAAGACAACATGAATATGAACATGAACTTAAATCTTTAAAAATTCTATATCCGCATCTCATGGAAAGGAAAATGGACTGGAGACATGAATTAAATGATAATATATAATACCTGTTATCAATAGTCTGTCTGGTGAGTGTAGTAGCGCTTCGCTTGGAAAAATGAAACTTAGTAATACCGAGTATAACATATTTATTCGTTTTTTCATTACTCATTAGTGCAAGATCTTTTATAACAAACTTTCGATTTTTGGACACCTTCTTAAATAGCACAAGATTTTTTATAACTAAATAGTCATTAACTCTGCGTCTTTGTAGTCAGTAAAGTTTACAATGTTGAAATTTTATTAGGTTAGGTCAGTTTATATCAGCGATCCCTAGGAAATTCATTTAGACCGATTGACTTATTCTGTTACCGTATATAGAGGAAACCACATAGAAACTTTGGCGAAGCTTAAAGCGTAATTGTTCAAGATCCTCAAAAAAGGAGACCCCAAAGTATTGAGTCGCTACCGTGTATGAGCTGGGCAAAGGCAGAGTAGATGAGAAGCACCTTCATCGCCTTCCCTACTGCTGCAACAAGTATGATTGCAAGGGAGATACATTCTTCAAGCATAGGTCCCTAGTCTATAGTGACTTGTAAGTAAACCTGCCATAAAACTGATATTTTTACGTGGCATCTTAATGCGAATATTAGATTTCCTTTCACTGGATAGTGATTAGATTAAGTCTTCCCATCCTTTACTTAAGATTTCCAGTAGGGTAAATTAAATAATAATTAGGTAAATTAGGTGTTACCTTGTGAAAATTTTATAAGATGTTTAATAAATAAATTTGAAAACTTTTAACCAAAAATAATAAATAAGTGCAATAAATAAATAAATAAATATTTACATAAGTGCAGTCCAAAAAAATCCTAGGAAATTTCAATTTACTTTATCTCAATTTACTCAAACTCGCACACGGCCTAAATACAATTTTCACACTATCGACTTTCACGAATGTTATCAAGATAATAAATAATATAAATAAATAAATTATAAAATTAAATTATGATTATAAATTAAATAAATTATGATCAGTGTGACTTTAAGCCTGTACAACACTCTTAAAAGTGCGCGTTAAAGAACATCAAATACACTTAATCAACCTTATATTTTATGGCACTTTTATCTAAAGATATCTATGAAAAATAAATCTTATGTTTATTCGCTGCTGGATCAACCTTACCTTTCTGGTATCACCATGGACCTTAATGATCTATGCAGTAATGGACCTTTTGGTCTGCCAGTATAACCTAACTTAACCTTATCTTTTTGTTCTCCTATTTGGGCCAAATGTAGATAGTTCTCAGAACTTTTTTCATAGTCTCACTTAAGTTTCTTTATGTATAGATTTGTTGCTTCACTGGAGGGTTTAATTTTAAAACAAGAATTGATCCAATTAGAATTGGTCATAATTGATCGATATTGTACATATAGAAAAAAAACAAACTAATATGTTTTGTTTTTCAACAAACATTTATTTAAATAAATTTTTCGAACTACAATAACTAAATTTCGATACACTTCAATACAAAATTTTAGAACACAATAACTAAGCAGCAAAGTTCAATGTAAATTTTTAGTACAATACATTTAATTATAATTAAACTGTAAATGCGTACATACATATATATATTAGTAAAAAAAGCATATTATGTTAACTCGACAAAATGATTGGTTTTTCTTTATATAATAAATACATTAGAAAATATTTCATTTATAAATATTTATACGTGTATAATAAAAGTATATATTTGGTTTGTGTACATTTCTCCATTGTAATTTTTAATTATTAATTATTAATTAATGCTTTGCGCATGGATTGTTTTGTGTACTATGTAAAAATGCCATTAAAAATATTTATTTTTGATTTAATTTATTTATTTTATTCGATTTATATGTATCTTTTAAGTTCTGTATATTATTTTTTTTTATGCTTTTTGTAAATGTAGTAAATTGGTAAATACAGACAATTCCAGTACAATTCAGTAATAGTTGCTTTGGTTGCTGAGTATTTTATAAAGTTCTTTACATTTTATAGATTCTTTTCTGTTTATTTTTTTTTTTTTTTTTTTGTATACATATAGTATATTTTTAAGTTGCACATTTTAATTAATTCCGAATAAGACTTTTTGTTAAGACTTTTTTTCATTTATGTGTAAATGAAATTCAACGTTTTCATTGGTTTAACCTGCATGCACGGACTGAAATGAAGAAGAAAGTAAGAAAACCATAAATAAATGAAATGCAATTCAATTGTAAAAAATTGTAATAATTTGAAAATAATAAATAACAATTTTCATCGAAGCTTAACAAAACAAAAGATTTACTTATAAAACAAAAAATTTAGTTTTAATCAAAACATAAGATAGATACATAAAATAAAAGTTTAACTTGAAACAAATTTAAAAAGTAAAAATTGCTATGCAATATATAACTACTTTTACTACAAATTGTATAAAATTTTTATAATTGTTAAACTAATCTTAATGTTTTAATGTAATTACTACAAGTCTTTTAAGTTCATTGAATTTAAATGGATTTAAATAAAATCGGAATTTGGACGTACCCTAGCAATATCAACGCCAGTTATGTTCTTGACCAACTCTGGCACTTTGTTAACAATTTGCAAAACTTCACCAGTGAGTTTTGCAGCTCCAATTTCACCTTGTCCACTCGATACCATAGTAATCTTTTTGGCTTGTGATAATGGAGCAGCAACTTCTGCAGCAACCTATAAATAATAATTATTATTAATTGTTTGTTATTTGTTTATAATTAAAATTTAGAAATTCTTACCTTTGGTAAAGTGTCCAACAACATTTCAACCATAGCAGCCTCACGGTATTCACGCCAGGCTTCAGCCTTTTGTGCCATTTGTTCAGCTTCAGCTTTTGCTTTCAATTGAATTGCATATGCTTCAGCTTCACCTCGAATTTTAATCTAGGTAAAGTAATTTAAAATAAATATTATACTTAAATATATTATAATAATTCCATACAAGAGCATATATAATAATTTATATTAAAAAAAAAACATAAAAAAGAAACTTTCAAAGACTTTCAATGTTGAAGCTATTGGCCCCAGTGCACTTGAGCACTTTTACACTTTATTAACTCGAGGTATCTTCAAAACCCCTCTTTACGCCTTGATTTTTATCTAAGATTTCCAACCAATTATATTTCTTATCAAAATAAGAATGCCACGTAGAAAAAAGGATTGATTTGATCCCTAATTCAACGTAATGATGTGACGGATATTAGTTTTGCGAATACAGATAGAGATGTGAAGAAGTTCTAATATAAGTATATGGATATTTATTCTGAATTTTTAGAGAATAATCATAGGGATACGGCTGTTATTTAAGTAAATAGCAAAAAGTATGGCGGTTTTTCTTGTAAATAAGAGGTTAGACATCCACGTATAACATAATGCTCATTCATTAATTTTAAATCACAATTGATTTTAAGTTTTTAAAATAATTTAAGCCAGGAACTAATGTCTTAATGACCAGAAATGCAGAGCGGTAAATCGATAAACATGTTATATTGTTGCTGTTTATAATACTCAAAAGGGACTACACAAGCAGTTCCCAGCAGGCTATACCAATACCACAAGCACATTCGTGTGGTTATAACAAGAGCATTCGATCACCAAAATTTTGAGATCACCAAAAGTTCACTGAATTTAAAATAAAATTTTTATAAACAATTATCTTCACTATAAACTTTAAATATAAAAATGCTTTCAAAATTATGCAGAAATTAGTAATAAACTTACAGATTCTGCCTCTGCTTCAGCTTCCATAACTACTCGTAGTTTATTAGCTTCAGCTAATTTTTCTAAGCGATATTTTTCTGCCTCTGCTGGGCGTCGTATTGTAGCTTCGAGTTCCCTTTCGCGACGTTGAATTTCTTGATCTTGTACAGCTATTTCTTGTGTACGTTCAATAACTTTCACTTGCATTTGCTCTTCCTTAATGCGTTGCTTAGTCTTGGCAGCTTGCAATTCATAAGCCATCTCAGCTTCAGCTTTCTTTGTTTGAACTTCAACATCATAAGCGGCTTTTTTCAATTCAAAGTCACGTTGTGCTTTGGCAATCTCAGTATCATTTAGGAATCTAGAAGCCATACGTTGCTCTTCAGCTATAGCTTCCTTGATTGTTGCTTCACAACGAGCCTCAGCTTCACCAATGCGTGCATCACGTTTCACTTCTGCTGTACGTGCCATACCAAGTGATTTAAGGTATCCCTTTAAAATATGAATACATATATATTAATAAAATCTATTATCAGCAATAATACATTCATATATAATTGCATATTATGTATTATATTTTACTTAAATTATTAAATTTGTAAATAAATACATTTTATTACATCTAGAAGAAATTTAGAAAAATTAACAAAGAAATTTACTTTTCAAACAAAACACCATCACAAGACATGCTCAATGCATTAACAAATTATTATATACATATTGTTGGTTTATTTAAGATGTTTATAAAATGTATATTGTTTCTTTAACTAATTTCGTAATACGTATACATTTTTATATAAATTGCACATATATATTCTGAACATAAATATTTTGATTATTTCTTGAAAATAAATATTTGATAGCTTAAAAAATAAAGAAAATAAATAATAAATAAAAACATATTAATAATTTATAAAAAAATAAATACATAAATTGAAAATGAATACCATAAAAAAATTGAAAATAATATAATATATATAATTAATAAATAGAATAAATAAATAATATCAGAAAGTAGCTACAATGAACAAAATTTTCAATAATTTAAATTTCAAAATAAATAAATATAATTTAATATTAATATAACAAAATATAAATATTTTAATAAAGAAACTTATTATATGAGTAAAATTAATTATAACTAAATCGTTCAAAAATGTAACTATTAAATAAAGTATAATAATATAATAATAAATAATATATAATAATATGATAATAGTTATACATATTTATATATTGTTATTATGTTATAGTGGTATTATAATTATAGGTTATAAAAAACTTTTATTTAATTAATAGCAAAAAATGTTAATATATACTAAATTAAATTTAATAGTGACTATATTAATATAAAATTAACATTTATAAGAAATTTGATTAAAAAGATTAAAATCTTTACTATTTTAATTAATAGTTGTAATAATATTAATTCAAAATAAAATACATTTTTAAACATGCAAAAACGATTTATATTATAATTAATAGTTACAATATTATTCAAAATTTTTAATTTTTAAAATTTGCAATAAAAATATTTATAATTATTATAACACTTCATTAAAAAAATTATTATAAAAATGTTATAATATAATGATATTTTTATAAATATTTATCATTTTGGTTGTTATGTTTTTATAGTTTTTATATATAACTAAAAATAATATATTATAGTTATTAATATTTCACATAATGCGTTCATTTTTTATATTATATTGCATTTAATATATTATTATATCATATTAATTAAATATTGCTTTTATTATTTATTATTTAATTTAGAAATTATCAAAACCATTAATTACAATATTTTAAATAATAAGAATTATATTTTGTATTTTTTAAATAATATAATCAATAATTTTCAAATTTAAAAATAGGATGTTATAACTTTTACTTACTAAGTTTTAATTTACTTTTATAATAGTTAATTATTAAATATAAAAATATTAAACAGAGATAGACTACTAACTACAAGCGCTTACTTATATTTATACATTACAAATAATTATCATGTGTTATTAATTATAATTAGTACAATTACTTTATTACTTTTTACAATTAATATTATACAATAATATTATATTACAATAATATGAAATACATTATTATTACGCTACGTGTAAAAATTATCATTACTTTATGTATAAATTAAATACTTGCGATTTAACAGCTAAGTTAAAAGCTTTGTTTTATTTAATAAATGTTAATTTTAAGGACAACAAAAAATATTACAATTATAGCTATAATTATTTGACGCATTTAACAACACAAAATAAAAATAATATAAAACGTTTAATATAGTAAAGGACAGACACTTATATTTACTATAACTATAAGAAATACGTTTTAATTTTGATATTTTTTAAACGTTGTTAAATCTAGTATAAACATACCTTCGAATCACCCTGTTGATGAGAACAATGCACAATAATTAAGAAGAATATTATTCCGAAAAAGAGAAGAAAATTATTTCAAAATATTATTTAATAAAAAAATAATAAATAGAATTTCATTATCCATTCGAAGTTAAAAAAACCATTATCTGAGAGTATATTCGTTGATTTACTAAACTGATAAAAAAGATTTAAGAATATAATAATGAAATATACTTAAGTCATAAAAATAAAAATTTGTAATAAAAAGAAATAAAAAATTTATATAAATATTTTAAATTATAATAGTTTTTAAATAGTATTGATACTATTGCTACTTTTTATACTATTGAGAATTATAAGTTACTAAACTATGTTATTATTAAGGTTATTAGTATAAAATTAAATTAATATAATAATTAATACAATGAGTATAAAGAATTTTTTTTTCGTTTTAAATTTTTAAGAAATTCGTGTATATACTAACAAAAATATTTTTCATATTTAAATAATAATTTTGTACAAAATGAATAATTTATATGTTAATTTACTTAACAATTTTATTGTATAATAATAATAAGCTACTAAATAAATATTTTATGAATTAAATTAAATTCATATTTCGTAACTAAAAAATTATTAGTAAATAAAATTATGTGTGTCATAAAAGCAAAATATGTAATAAGTGTGATTTCATTTTACAATCCTGTTTTAATAATTAGTTCATAAATAAATATTATTAATGTTATAGTAAAAATCAATAATTCAGAAATCATCTTAATAAAAATTGTTCAGCATTACAGAAGAAATTAAAAGCTATTATTTCGTAAGTTACAAAATAAAAATCTTAACTGTAATTGTGGTTAGTATTATGCACATAAATACAGAGAAGTGATAAACAAAAAGCAATCAATAAAATATTTTTAAAATATATATAAAAACAAAATATATTGCATCTGCCCCATGCCTTTTAGTTAGTTGTTTACATTTATTAATTAATCTATAATAAAAATAATTAAACAAGTAATGTTTCGCGGTTACTTACTTCTTCATCTCGAATATCTTTCAGAGTGTATGACACTACAGTGATGCCCATATTTGCCAAGTCAGATGACGCAACTTCAAATACTTGTTTACTGAACTTCTTGCGATCCTTATAGATTTCTTCGACAGTCATTGAACCCATGATAGCACGTTGGTGACCTTCCAATGTCACGAGCGCAATATGCTGAATTTCAGATTCATTTTTTCCCAAAAATTGTTCACACGCTGTAAGCAGCATATCCTCATTTTGACCCTGAACCTTCACTTGAGCAATACCCGTTACGGATATTGGCACACCCTGGCTTGTATAAACGCAAGGACTTTCGACTTGTAGGGTCATAGTGTTCAGAGATATTCTTTAAAATAAATTAGTTACTTATATTCTTAACAATTACATTTTTATAAATTAAAGAAATACCTCTGCACACGTTGAATTGTTGGCCATACAAAAGCGCGACCGCCAGGCACTAATAATGGTTTCATATAACAGCATCCTAAAGATTATAATGAAAGAAAATATTTTAATGAATAATAAATAAATTATTCTCAAACAAAAAAAAAAAACTAATTAAGACACATGATATTGAATTTAATCATTTTTGCGGACACATTGAATGAGATGCGTACAAAAATCAATAACAAACATGACGTCATATGGGTGTACTATTAAATTTGTATAAATATGGTATAAAATCTTTTTATTCGATAATCTCTTACCTGAAACTACTAGAGCCTCATTTGGACCACAAGTTACGAATCCCCAAGTCATATTTTATTAAAATATTTTATAAAACCTTTAGAGCTCACAAGTAAACCAATTTATTTATTCTGTATATGGCAATTGGGTCTTAATTTTACACCGCGATAATTAAATAAATAAATATTATTATTAGCGTTCGACTAAAACTTGTATCCAAAAATAATCTTATCAATTTATTTATTTAGTATGCAAAATACGAAAAAATTATATTTGTTTAACTACTTGGATGCTGCAAATTAAAACCGCTGACGGCACCAACAAGCTTGCAGAAAAGTTCTACTGATAAGTTCTAACTTTCACTGCGCAGAAACTTTTATTACACGTTTTGTTGTTTTGTTCAGTATTTGTTTTCCTTCTGGTGTTCAGTGTTGCCATCTGCAGAATTTCTTATCACTTCAATTTTGCTCCGGAACACTAAAATAGAAACAAAATTAAACTAAAAATATTTTTAAATATTTATTGTTTCATGCCCAAACGATTTTAATAAAGTATTTTTGCAATTACACTTTCTTGTAATGACGAAGAAGCTATTTTTAAAATTTAGAGGGTTTTTCGAAAAGCAAAGAAAGAAAAGACAAACACAAAAATTTTAGTTAATTTATTAAAATTTGACTAGCCACACAAAGCTGTTTCGAGTACTCATCATCAGTCTTTGGAAATGATCAAATTTAATTAGTTTATAGTCCGTATATAATTTGTTTATTCTGCAAATGCCAGGCTTAGAACTCGTACCTGTCAAATTAGAAGTTAAAAATAGAAATTAAGAAAAAGAAACCACGATTTATTTTACAATAATTTTTATTTCATCGATATTTCGACTTTAGGCATTGAGTAAGAATATTATAGAGTCACAATGACTCAATTTTTAAATTTTCAGCAACAGGCACGGGAGGGCGGAGTGAAGATTTTACTTCTTTCTGCGCTGCTGCTAGATCGGTCGCGCTTATGCTTGTTCTTTCTCAAAATTTTACTATTAATGAATGAAGGGCAAAAATGAAAACAAAAAACAGATTTGCTTGTTTACGAAGAAAAGAGTCAAATTAGTTTTTGGTGTAATTATTTGTTTTTGCAATTAATGCTTGGCAGTAGCAAGCAGTACGTAAAAATTTCATGCATTTAATATCACTTCATAATGCAAATAAGAGAAACATCCCTACTTGTTTGGAAGTTTACTGATCTACATATATATATGTATGTGTATAAATGTATATTTATAAACATATGTACTTTTATTTGGAAGAATATGAATATTTTTTGATCTTATTTTAGGAACATTTGAAGCAAATGCAACCAATTTCAATTTTTTGTTTTAATCAGGTATAATAACAGTTATATGAATGTTATATTAGTATTAGCTAAAATAAGATAATTGTATGTAATTGACCGTGTGTGAGTTCGAGTAATTGAAAGTAAATTGAGGAAAATAGTAAATTATGTCCGTATGGCAGCGAATGTTGGTATTTACCAGAATTTCGAGTAGGGTAAATTAGGTAAATTAGGTATTACCATTGGGAACATTTTATAAAATGTATAATAAAAAAATAATTAAATTTGAAAGCTTTTAACATAAGTGCAGTGCAAAAAAACCCTAGGAAATTTTAGTTTACTTTACCATAATTTACCGAGTTGGTTTATTGGGGCCTGCAGACTTCATCGAATTGAATTGCTGGGCTTTATTCTGCTTATATTACTTCGTAAGCAATTCCTTTGTATGGTAGAGAAAGTGAAATCGACTAAGGCATAAATTGTTATATGACCTTATATTACAAATTTGCCCTAATACAGGCTTAATAACATCTATTTATAATTTATTTATTATCATAACTACTTACTTTATTTATTTATTTTGTTCAAAATACATAGTTTAAGTGAATTAATTTTAAGATAGTTATTAATAAACATGTGTTAATAAATATGTATAAATATGTAAATATTAATATTTATTACGTAGAAACTTTCGCTATTTTTTATGGTTATTCACGGGATATTGATCAATTAATTAACAAAGCAGTTTATACATATAAACAATAAAAAATAATGTATCATATATATATCTAATAACGGGAAGAACTAACAAATGTGTTCTCTTATTGGTGGTGGTATTCCTCTATTCCTGAGCGTTGTTTGTTGTCGTTTTGTCATTGGGCCTTGTTGTGGTAGGATTTTAGGCAGGTTTAGGAGTATTTTCGGAAAATCTTCTGCAGGTTGTTTTCTTTCTTCTTTTTACCATTCTATTTTCCAATTATTTATGTGTGATAATATATTTCTTTATCATTTATATGCAAAAAATCTTTTTGTCGAAAATACTAATGTACATATATTAATATAAAAAACTAAAGTTCTTCAAATTCTTGAGGACGATTATAAATTATAGTCGAAATAGAGAGCAAATAATAAAAAAAAACTTTGAAATAGTAAAAAAAATCTTTTCTATATTATTTTTTTTAAACAAAATTTCTTCGTTAACATGGACTAGGCCTCCTGGGGACACCATGTAAAAAAAAAACGCGCGATGCATTATACCTCGAAGGTGGTCTGGAAATTAGTACGCAACTAGTAACATGAAAATTGTCATTTCTATTTAATTAACGATAACCTTTCATGTATGTCGATCTAGTAACTATCAATGATTATGCAGTTATTTAAATAAATCTCCATTTCTCGGCAATTATTCGCTTGCAAAAGCTAATAGTCGATACACTTGTACCCCTTGTACTGATATTCCTTTTATACTTATTCAGTATCTTTTAAGTGCATATATTTGCGAAATAGCGTTAATTATTCAAACTGCCATTTAAATCGAAGGTTTAATTTTAGTTTTTTTTATTTATCTTAAATCGATTTCTGTATAATTTTATTGTCATACATTTGGCGAAGCTAAAGCATACTATTTTTAAAAAATGTTTTACCAATTATTGGTAAATATTTTATATACATATGTGTTCTTATGATTGTATTACTTCCTAAGATTTAATATAAATATTATGTAAATGCGATAAAATTGAAAATCCATACCTAATAACAATTAATTACGAAAACAATTATAATTCTTTCTTCAAATGCCATCATAATGAAAAATTGTTTCAATGCTGCAAATAAAATTTTGATATCTCTTGCCTCCGAAATGACATACAAAATTATGTCCATATGTTCATATTTAAACACAAAGCAAGTAGGCATGAATGAATATAAAATAGAGAATAATTCTTTTTACTACTTACATTATAATTTAAGAAAGCAATAACAACACCTCAAAGAGCAAAAGGAGAAAAAAACACAAAAAAGAAATATAAAAATTTCTTGAACCTATGAAGCAGAGAATATTGCAAAATCTTCTTTGGTATGAAGCAAAAACGACTGAAGCGACGTCGGCAGAGATTTGAGTGATTTGGGTACCCATTAATAGATACCTAGAACAAAAATTAATTTCTATGGCATTGTGACTCTATAATATTTTTACTCAATGCTTTAGGCTAATGTCTATAAAAATATTCTTTAAATACATTTATTTTTACATAATTAGTTTCAAAGTTATTTTTAGTATAGTTCTTCATTATTTTATATGAAAAAGGGGTATATTATAAGAAAATATTATCTTCCATATCACGACTAAATAAAACAATTGAATAAACATTATAATAGTACAAGATATTTATTTGAATTGTTATATTCTAATAAAAATATACATTTTATATATTTAATTGGCATAAAAATTTAAGAATATTAAGTAATAGAGAGTAGAAGTTTTAGCTAATTTGAAAAATACTAAATCGGACCTGCTATAAAATTTAAAAAACACAAAATCATTTAAATATATTAATATTAATAAAATAATTCATATCGAAAGAATGTTATTCTGATGATACAAACATATCTATCACATTAGAATAATTTTTATTACTAGAAAAAAAGGAACAATATAAAGTTAAAATAATAAGTTCAATATGCTTCTAATTCATAAAGTAATAACACTGATATACTGCATACAGTTCTTTCAATTCCAGCAATTCAACATATAAATAAATCATTCAAAAACTAAAATTAAATCAAAAATTACTAATACAAAGTTCGAAAATAATTGTTGTTCTTACTATAATTTATACATTAAAATCTACACTTTAAATTAAGTTTTAATTTAATAAATCTAAAATTTAATGATTTGAACTTTCAGTAAAATACGGATGTTGCATTGCTTGTTCTGCACTTATTCGTTGATTTGGTCGACATATTAACAATTTTTGTAAAAGATCGCGTCCTTTTGAATTTAGACGTGGTACTATTTGACTCCAAGAGGTAATGGCTGGAAATGCTATACAATAAAATATATTAATAAGTTGTAAAAGCAAAATCAAATTATGCTTACATGGAAGCGCTACATAATCTGACAGATGTGTGACACCTGGCCATGTTTCCTCTGTCGGAGTGCCTAATACTCTAAAAATTTTCATTAATTGATCCAGTACATCTGATCCTGGAAATAGTGGACGTCCAGCATCTGCAAGTTCGGCAAAAATGCAACCAGCTGACCACATATCTATGCTAGTTGTATATAGCTTGGCACCAAACAATACATCCGGTGGCCGATACCACAGAGTAACAACTTCAGCGGAATAACATTTAACTGGAATGCCAAATGCTCTCGCCAAACCTTAAATATAAATAAATTCTTAAACAAATTTTGGTGTACTTAATACGAATAAAAAACATACCAAAATCCGCTAATTTTAACTCTCCATTTTTGTTGATTAACAAATTTTGTGGTTTAAGATCTCTATGTAGTACATTATGACTGTGACAAAATGCTAATCCACGTAACAGTTGTAGCATGAAACTTCTACAGATGGCCATATCAATTTCACCATTCAAACTATCGAAATATTTTTTTAAGTCTTGATCGCAATGTTCGAAAACTAATGTAAGTTTCTTATCAGAATGTAGTACGTCATACAATCGAACTATATTCTTATGCTTCAATTCCTAGGCAATAAATTTAATAATTAATATCATTTTTAATAAAATTAAAATTTTTATATAAGAAATTTACTTTTAACAGACAAATTTCCCGCAATGCAGAACTTGGCACTCCCTCATCATCTTCATCTAGTCGCACTCTCTTCAAAGCGACAATTTCTAAACTTTCCCGATTTCTTCCTTTGAATACAGTACCATAGGTTCCTTCACCAATTTTCTCCAACTTCTCATATTTTTGCATAATTTATTTAAAAGCAATTTTATACAAAAACAATTTACAATTTATGAAAACAATAGCAGTGCCAAAATACTTTGCAAAAGTGCAATCGGTATTACAAACAGAGTGATGCCATCTTTATCAATTGTCAAATTAAACTCAAATTAAGGTACAATTTAATGTGTTAATAATTAACAAGCGTGTTCACGTTTGCAAATTTTTTTAATAAAATTAATAAATGGTTTTTTTTCTTATTTATAATGCATAAAACATTCTTAATATACATATACTCTTTACAATTTATATTTCTACAATCTACCATACAGTAATAACATTCTCGTTTCTTCTCTCACTTGTTTAAAATATTGTCTTATTGTAGGTTCCCATTTACTTTATTTGATTAAGGTCACTAATGAAATTGATTAACCACAAAAAGAGCTTCTGCGCATTCCAACTTAATTAAGAATAAATTAAGAAAGTTACACCAAAAATGTTGAATGCAGCATTGCAAAATATGTTTCCCAAGAGAGAAATTATCGAAATTTGACATATTTGACACACGAAACAATATGTATTTAAGCATATAACAAACACACCAAATAAAAAAATGTTTGCTTTTTTATAAACGTTTACATTTTCTGCGTTTCTTATAATCAAGGAATTAATTTCTGCTAACAATACAAAACTATATATTATCTATTCACAATTTAAATGTAAAATGTAAAAAGCACTCCTAGAACTTCCACAGAATTTTCTGAACTTTTTTAATCTAATATCTGTCGTTGATTTCAATTGTTAATCTCTACGGTCCACTGGTTAAAATATTTCCATTTTGCATTTGTAAGAGATGGTTGAAGTGGATTTAACACGTTAACAATTGAAATTAGATTGAAATTTGTGGTGATATTGACTGAAATCCCATCACATGCGAAGATCATATTGCTATCATTCTGTTTTCTGCAAATTTTAATACATTCAAATATGATATGATGTAGACTCTTTACACATAATATTTATCTATAACAAATAAATTATCCCGTACTCACCATTTAAAAAACTTAATAAATATTTGCAATATATAGCGCATATAATGTAATGTGGCAGCACACTACTGTAATACTGCCTTATGATATTTCACTTGTCAAGCAAAAAGCAAAAATTTGCAAAAATTCGCTTAAATGCAGAAGTTAAGAAATATAAAGTAGATTCTGTTAATTCTTGATTCTGTAAAATTAAACAGTGCTTAAAATGTTTTAGAATATTAATAAAAGAAGTGTTAAAATCTATGCAGTAGTTTCTTTTTAACTCACTATTTTGTGTTGCCTATATATTTTGTGATATTTTTTACAACGTTTACTCCCCCTTTTATAGTCTACATTTATGTCTTGATCAATTCCATGTAAAGTGGTATTTCAACTCCATTGATAACTTCAATGAATAGTTAAACAATGAAAATACATAAATACTTTGGTAATATTTGGGAGTCAATAATCTGGCATGAGTCATAGGGTCAAGACTTTTGAGCGGTTTCAAGTGACCTGATATAATTGAACATCAATTTATTATTAATAACAAAGAGATAATTAAATTCATTGTGAAATAATTGTGTATATTCAAAAATATAACGAGCTAGCATAGGAATTGCTCTGGCTAGCTCTAAAAAAACTCATCCATTATGGTTCCTCCGGTTCCCACAAAAGACAATGTCGACCTAGAATGTTTCCTCGTAACTAAACATTCATGGAAAGGCAAATATAAACGCATTTTATCTATTGGCACCGCAGGCATTTCCACGTACAATCCGGATAAATTTGATCTCACAAATCGTTGGACATATTCAGATATTATTGCTGCTGCCCCAAATAAATCAAATGTAAGCCATTTTTTAATTGAGTTATAAACTTTTTTTCTATTTTGTGATATTGAATTAACATTTACGTACAGCCTTGTGTTTTGAGGTGATAAAAAAACAAATCGTTTTCAGTAGATTGTTTACAAATGTTCTAAACATTGTGGTATTGTTATTGCTGCATATCTATTATTATTTATCAGCACGATTAGCACAAAAATGAAAATGCTATGAAGTAGTTTTGTTTATCATAATTTGCTTACTAATCTCTTCCTTCTGCCCTTCATTTTTGTTTATTTTTGCTTTAGATTCCTAATGAATTTGTGCTTACAATAAAAAAAGATAAAAAACTCGACTCAATAAAATTATCATCAGAATACCGCAACGATATTTTAAGCTCAATATTAAAGTATTACAAAGAATTTGCTGATAAACCGAAAAATGTCCAAGTAAGAAATGAAATACAATTAAATTAAATTACAATTTTTAAATAAATTTTTTTTTAAAATAGCGTTTTAATGGATATAAATACCATTGGTCAGGAATTACTTTACCGACAGTGCTGGAGGTGACACCTTGCTCTTTGGATCAGTTGGATCCTACAACCAATGAACTGCTCACTAGTTACATGTACAAGGATATCGAAGGAATAATAGGTACTATAAGTATTAATTTGCACGTTTTGTTTTGCTTCTTAACGTGTTTACGTCTTTCCTCTGCCTTTCCTCTTTACATTTGCTTGCATTCAATTGAATTTAACTGTTGTATGGTATAATCTTACAATATATTGCACTTACCTTTGTTTTCTCTTTGATGTGTTAAACATTTTAAGCAGGAATTTCAGATTATGAGGGCGGCATTGTAATGGCATATGGCGGATTTAGCCGCCTACACCTATTCAAAGCGGATAATCATCATGAAATTGTACAAAACATAGCTCAACGTTCATCACAATTTCTTAGTATTGAAACGAAAATTCTCAAAAGCCAAATAACTTTGGATCAATTTGAGCGTCAAAGATTTGGAAAGTTTAGGTATTTAAATCCTGAAAAGTATATAAAATGTTTATATTATGCATATTTAAATTTTAGTGATGATCAGTTTCAAACATCAATGACTGAATTTACGGTACAAAAGATTTCAAATCGTCATCCTGAACCAGTTAAACGTATACTCTGTCTCACCGAAACAACTTTACTCGAGAGAGATCCTCAAACATATAGTGTTTGCACGCTGAGACCTTTGTCAGATGTTTTTGCGTTAATAAGAGACAAGGATAATTTGCAAAAATTTTGTATTGAGTACAAAAATGGTATTGTACGCACATAT